GATTGTACTTATGCAATTTTGTATTCATGTTTATATATTTATAATTATGAGAAATTTATAAATAACATACACTAAATTAGTAATAATTGTTTATATTTATAATAATAGTTGTTATTACTGCTACCATTAGTAAAAATTTCAGTACCTATCAACACACACTACAGCTCACACACAACACCTCAGCCCCTATACAGTACTCAAAGAAACAATCTCAAATGTCACATTAGCTTTGGGGTCATGCCTTCCCCCAACCCTTTCCCATGCCCATTACCCATCCCCAGTTCCACCATGCAACATGACAGGCAGGCGTGATCATCCCAGGTCATTAGCAGGGCTTGCTAGAGGACACAAAATAGCTCCTCCAGTTTCTCCTGAGGTTGAGTTTCTCAGGCAGGCTGTGGGTGCGAGTGAAACCCTGGAGAGCTTCTGCCTTTTATTTCATTGTGGCACAACTCTGAGGTCTGAAGGAGGCCCTAGAAATGTTTTGTTTTTCTTAAGGGCCTGAGCCAGAGACATCTGGTGTGTGAGGTAGAAAGATGAGAGAAACATACACACATTTACATGTCCTCAGCTGGGACTTGGAAAAATTCTCAGAGGCACGTGCTGAGCCCCTCAGAACTTTATTTATTTATTTATTCTAAAGTATTTTATTTTGTACAATTAAAATGTATCTTGAGGCATAACAAAACATTTAAGAGCTTATTGAGTAAAAAGCAATTCATGTATGGGAGAAAAACCAAAATGAAAAAGGATTAGTGTTTTACTGATGAAGCGTCAGAGGCAAGTATTTATTAGAAAAGTGCAGAGAAAATAAAATTATTTGGTTAAAGTTACAAAATTGTTATTGTTACTATTTTTTGGTTTTTATTTTTAGAAAGTCTTGTTACACCTTATACATTTGATGGATATCTCTTATTTGGGGGGGGGCGGGGCTGGATTTGAACCCGCCACCTCCAGCATATGGGGCTGGTGCCTTACCCTTTTGAGTCACAGGGCCACGCAATAACTTTTTTTTTAGACCAAGTCTCACTGTGTTCGGTAGACTGCTGTGGCATGAGCATTAGCTGACAGCAATCTCAAACTCTTGGGCTCAAGTTCAACTAGGTAGCCTCATGGTAGGTGCATGTAGTCCAGCTACTTGGGAGGCTGAGTAAAGAGGACTGCTAAAAATCCAAGAGTTGGAGGTTGCTGTGAGCTGTGATGCCATGGCATTTTACCCAGGGGGACAGAGTGACACTCTGTCTTAACATAATAATAATAGTAGTTATTGGCTGGACAAGGTGGTTCACGCCTGTAATCCCAGCACTCTGGGAGGCGGAAGTGGACAGCTAGATATCTTATGAGCAGCCAGAGAACTAACGAGATCCCTTCTCTAAAAATAGCTGGCTGTTGTAGTGGGCACCTGTAGTCCAACCACTAAGGAAGCTGAGGCAAGAGAATCTCTTGAGCCCAAGAATTTGAGGTTATTATGAGCTATGACACTATGTCACTCTACTGAGGGTGACAAAATAAGACGCTGTCTGAAAATAATAATAATAGCAATTGCTATTATTGGAGATACTCATAGTGAGACTACAGGTGACACTGCAACATTTTCAAAGCAGAAATTGCTGAAGGCCTTGCCTTTTTTTCTCTGCTGTCTGAAACCATCGTGTCACTCAGTAATATACAAAATTTACATTTAAGGTGACCTAAATATTGTATTTGATCTCAAATAGATTCTGTCAGTCTCTTTCAAGCTACCTAGAATTTTTCAGAGTAAACATGGGAATAACCAGAATTAGCAAGAAAGAAATGCAAGAAGTTTCTCTGGTCTTGCATGACATTAAAACAGATTCAAACCTTCTATAATTAAGGTAGTATAGTGTTAAAGCAGTGTTTTTTGACCTTTTTTAAAATATCCTGGCACACTTCAACATATAGTGAAACTTTTATGGCATATTTAAGTTATATTCACCACCAAATAAAATTAAAAAGAAAGAATATACTGATTGTGCTTTGAACTTCTTTCAAAAGTAATTTAATTAAAATTTTGTTAAAATTTTCATGGCACCCCTAAGATCCTCTGACAGCACAGTGCTCCAGCAGCACAGCAGTTGAAAATGGCTGGGAACATAAACAGGCAAGCACTCTGGGACAGCAGAAAATTCAACAATCCCATCAAGTGGATAAAAAAGTTATACAATAAAAACAAAGGGGAACCTTTTATCAATGCTGCATGTTTGAGAACAGGATAGTTCTATAAAAATTATGGGAATAAATTTGTTCATCATGTGCTAGAATAAGATGAAGGGTAAAGAAGAAATATAAATGGCAAAAAGTTTAAAACCTGCAAATAGGAGAAGAAAACATTGGTAAATATTACTATAAGCTGTGAGAATAAATCTGGCTTTTTAAAATGAAGAAATGTTAGTGAAATTAAGATTAACCAAGGACATGATACAAAACCATAATATTTTGCATGGTAGGAGTTGCTATAAATTAAAAAGAATATGCTAAACAGAACATCTATTTGCAAGTTATGTGAAAGACGAAAGCAATCATTCCTGTGTCTTCCCCAAAAAATCATAAATTTCTCTAAACATGGTCTCATGGCACAAGGACACAGGAGGACAAGTGAAGAGTCCCTCACTGACCCAAGACGGGACAGTTTTAACTTGAAAATAGATATAACTGCAGCACATGGAGTCCTATCAAATACACAAGAAATACTGCAAGGAAAAGTATTATCTACATGTTTCTGTTTTTGTTTGGAAGGCCATGTCATCATTGTTGTGACAGTGACTAAGCAAAAGAATCCAGTTTTTATCCTTTCCTGTTAGGTTAGATGTGAATGTAATAAAGAGCTCAGGAGAAAATGCAATTCTTTCTAGAGAATAAGAACTAGTATATGCAGAGGGTATGCTAGAGTTAGAAAACTGCTATTTTGCAATCCTCAGTAAAATTAGGAAAATAGTAATCAATAAATGATAATAAGTTACAAGAAAGAAACAGGTAGCTATCCCATGCACCCACTCATCAATCTTAAATGTATTGAAAAGTAGAATAATCAGGTATACACATTTAAGTGTACTGTCTTCATTGGGATGTTCTGGAAGTGTAAAATGCAATGTGATTTTGAAAGATATAGTCCACAAACTACTGTATTAATATAGATCACATATTGAAATAATAAATTTAGTGAATAAATTATAATCAATTTTATGTGTTAATTTTTCTTTTCTTTGATGTTGCTATCAGAAAATTTAAAATGACACTCACAGGGCTCTTTAATTCTAGCAGGCATTGGTGCCTGAGAAGATTGGCTGCTCCCTTTTCAAAACTCAGGCTGCTTCCTTAAGAAAACAAGAGTCCATGAAGATTATAAAATCGGAATTATTTATTTATTTATTTTGTAGAGACAGAGTTTCATTTTATTGCCCTTGGTTGAGTGCTGTGCATCACACAGCTCACAGCAACCTCCAACTCCTGGGTTTAGGTGATTCTCTTGCCTCAGCCTCCCAAGTAGCTGGGACTACAGTAGCCTGCCACAACACCACTTTTTGTTGTTGTTGTTATTGCAGTTTGGCCAGGGCTGAGTTTGAACCTGCGATGCTTGGTATATGGGGCCAAGGCTCTACCCACAGAGCCACAGGAGTTGCCCTGGAATTATTTATTATTAAGTGATTTAGAGACAGGGTCTTGCAGACTAGAGTGCAGTGTTCTGATCACAGGTCACTGCAGCTTCCAACTCAAAGGCTCAAGTGATCATCCTTTCATAGCCTCCTAAATGAGAAGTTCTAGCATAGAACTGGGTTGAGGGTCCACAAGAAAGGAGAGGAGGCCAGTCCAGGAACAAGGAAAGGATTTATTAGAAGGGGAAAGAAAATGGAGACTGACCAGGTGTGAGCTCAGCTAGCACAGTTACAAAAGCCCTCTCAGTATACCTGGAGAGGGACTGAGAGCCCAGATGACCGCCTGGGGCTCTTCTCCAGTGCTGGAGGAGATCAGGACTATGTGTGTACTTCCAGGTCAGCCTATGGGTAGCATGTTTCCAGGAACTCTGGCCTCAAGCCACTTCAGGACTCTGGGGAGGGGATTTTTCATTTCTGACCTGATTTTCTAAAATTGCTGCACTCCTGTCACGATTTTGAGATTTCTTTCCCACGATGAGTAGCTGAGAGTACAGGTATGGACCACCATACCTGGCTTTTAAAAACAACTTTTGTAGTGGCCAAGGTGGGAGGATGGCTTGAGCTCATGAGTTAGAGATCAACCTGAGTAAGATCAAGACCCATCTCTACTAAAAATAGAAAAATTAGTCAGGGATACTGGGTAGTTCCTGTAGTCCCATCTGCTGTGGAGACTGAGGCATGTGGATCACTTGAACCTAGGGGTCTGACCTTGCCGTGAGGGAGGCTGATGCTACACCACTCCAGCCTGGGCAACGGAGTGAGACTCTTGTCTTTATTTTAATTATTTATTTATTTATTTAGTAGACATGGGACTCTTGTTATGTTGGCCAGGCTGGTCTCAACTTACTGGCTTCAAGGGACCCTTTTGCCTTGGCCTCCTAAAGTGCTAGAATTAGAAGCATGAGCCACCATGCACGACCCCAAACCTGAAATTTAAAAATATTTATCATAGTGTTGAATACTATTTGTGTTGTTCATTATGGATATAACATCATATACAGGGTTAAATGCCAATGGCCTCCTAGCTGTGACAACTTCCTGTGAGGAGAGAAAACACTGGTTGCAGCTTTAAATGCGTGGGATTTTCATTAGCTCAGAGGAATGGGGCGGGGGGCTGATGGCTCTGACCAATCAGGAGCGCTGATTTTTATTAGCTCAGAAGAATGAGGGGAGGGGGCTGATGGCTCTAACCAATCAGGAGCACTGGTGTGAAACTGTCCAAATGAGGCGTGCAGCGGAAGTGTAAGGGGCGGGTTCTACAACCCGGAACAGCCCTGGACCTTTGCTTCCGGCCGCCAAAGTCAGTCAGTGTTCGCTACTCCCGCCTTCCTCTGTAAGGCCCCGGTGTCTCTTCTCGGTCCGTGTCGCCCGGTGACTCGCAGGTACTGCAAGATCTGTAAGGAGGATGCCGGGGCGACACGGAAGGCAGGAAACGGTGAGCATATTGGACTGGTTTGTCATGGGAAAGTCGAACGTCCAGAAGCGGCTGTGGCGGTCTCGGCCTCCCCTCGTCAGCTCCGAAGCCTGCGGACTCCAGTCCCAGGTGGAGCAGCTTGGCGGTCCGACCCTTCTGGCCACTTGGCACGGCCTCGCCGTGTGCCCAGAACACGGCGTCTCCCCAGATTGTGTGGTAAAGACGGGTGGGTCGTCAGGGAGAATCCTGACTCAGTGGCTGGGTCCGTGAAGTCCCCAGTCTGCCCTCTCCCCAGTTAAAAAATATAGCACAGTTAAAATATTAAGGGGTTCACTAGGGGGCACGGTGATTTATGAGTCAGCAAGCCCCAGCCGTGGTTTGTTTGGGGATCCACAGGAGGGGCTTGAAAGAAAGGGTTTTGTAAAGTGCATGAAGGTAGAAACCTAACTGGATAATTGGTTGGTTATCATTTTGTAGCCTCCTTTTTTTCGGTTATGACACAAGCTATCTTCTGTTTCTGTAATCAGAGGTAAACTGGTAGTTTGTAATGGGTAAGCTTAAATTTTGTTTCTAAGGTAATAATTACCAAAAAATGCATTCGCGGTTGGATTTCAGTATCCTTAGTAGCAATTCAGGGCACAAGAATCAGTTCATTCTAATTGCTCACTATTTATTGATTTTAACACTCCATAGAAAGACCTGTTTCTGTCTCTCTTTTCCAAATGAATAACAAACAGAACCTCACATCCACCACACTGTACCCTTAGAATAACTGTCCTAGGGCTTATAGTAAAACCTTAAATTTCAAGGTTTCCCCCACATTCCTAAATGTCAGCATAAACTCACCAATTCACATTTTCCACTATTTGTGCTTTATAATACTTTTCGGAGAGACAGAGGATTTTAATTGTACATTATTTTTCAGAGAAGTGGACAGGTTTTTTTGTTTTTTTGAGACAAAGTCTATGTTGCCCTTGGTAGAGTGCTGTGGCCCCCAGCTCACAGCAACCTCTAGCTCTTGGGCTTAAGCGATTCTCTTGCCTCAGCCTCCCAAGTAGCTGGGACTATAGGCACCCGCCAGAACTCTTGGTAGTTTTGTTGTTGTAGTTGTCATTGTTATTTGGAAGGCCCAGGGCTAGGTTCAAACCTGTCAGCCCCAGTTTATGTGGCCAGTGCCCTAGCCACTGAGGTACGGGTGCCTAGCTTGGACAGCTCTTAAAATATTTGAATATTTGTGTTTCTGAACATTTCACTTGAGGAAATTCGAGAACATTCACTTGATGCTTTGGTCTAAGAATTCTTTGTGCCTTTTCTCCTTTTTTTTTTTTTTTAATTATTGAGGATTCATTAAGGGTACAAAGATCTAGGTTACACCAATTGTGTTTGTCAGTGTGACAAACACTGCGACTCCCCCACACTCCTCCCTCCTTCCTTCTCTTTGCTCCCCCATCCTCCCCTCTGTGTACTAGGTTATTAATTGTCCTCATATCAAAGTACATTGGATTCTTCTCCATTCTTGTGATGCTTTACTAAGAAGGTGTTCCACCTCCATCCAAGTTAGTACAAAGGATGTATAGTCTCCATCTTTTTTTAGTCGCTGAATAATATTCCATGGTATACATATAACACAGCTTGTTAATTCATTTCTGGATTGGCGGGCATTAAGGTTGTTTCCACATTTTGGCGATTGTAAATTGAGCTGAGATAAACCGTCTAGTGCAAATGTCCATATGACAAAAGGATTTTTTTTTCCTTCTGGGTAGAGATCCTTTCTTCCTTTTTGTATTTCCTAGGCACAAACATCTTACCAGAATGGCCTTGGTTTGAGCGTTGTCTGTAGAAACTTCACAGGGTATTGTGTCCTCAGCCACCCACCTGTCTTTTCCCATTACTGGGTTTCACAACTGTCTGGGGGTGACTCTGAATGTTCACAGTGGCCTTGTCTCTTGGAATGTCTATTCTATATCAGCTCCTGGGTCTTCTCCATGAGGACTTCTTGAGATTTAAAGCTGGCTGGAGCCTATCAGGGGAGCATAAAGACGGCTTCGGGCTGAGAGGAATCTCCTGGTATATCCTTTATCTAAGAAGCTAAGTTATTGAGACATTAACATTTTCTTCCTCCATCCCAGTTTTCATTTTCTGGAGACATGCCAACTGGATGCTGATACTGAGGAAAAAAGGACAAAAGCAATTCCTGTTCTCTAGATTTTTTCACACTTGTGAAGGGAGAAAAAGTATACCAAAGGATAAGCAAAAGAGACCCCAGTAAGGTGGTGCAAGAACCTGGAAAGCAAATTGCACAGTGAGAGCCGTGCAGGGTAGCCTGGGAGAAAGGCCATCCAGTAGTTAAAAGAGCAGGATGGGGCTGGGCAGATTTTCCAGGTGATCGGATGGCTTGATTTGACACTTGAGTCCCTCATGTTTGTGTTTCTGTCAACTCTGCCCTTCACCTAGAAAATACTTGTTCTCTTATTTTAGCTTCATTTTTTCCTTAACTGTAAAATGAATTTTAGCAGTAGAGCTTGAAAGGTAACATAATAAAAAGGGTGCCAAAGAAAGTATACACATTTTAAGAAAGGAAAAAAGTATTAAAATCTTAATACTTAAGTCTCATTTGAGTTCTGCAAATTATAAGAGATACAAGGTACAGTACATAAGATAACAAGTGTTACTGGTATATATCTAATATTAAAATTTTAATACAGTTTTTTTCTTAAAATGTATATCCTTTTTTTTATTTGGCAACCTGTGTGTTTTCAAAGAAACATGAACAACATAGATCTCAGGAAAAAATCTGGTCATGTATTCCACTTAAAAATTCTTGTTTTCCATTTTCTTCCTAGAGCAAGTGTGGTAAGTTAGTCAGGTATGTTATTTATTTGTAGGTGATTTTGGAATTCCAAGAATTAGCTTTGAGAATGCTACCTGGGAAAGAAAATAGGAAACATTTCTTTATCATTTTGGTTGCAGAAAAATAAATACATTTCTACTAGAAAGCAGAGTAATGAAATTGGTAAATGACAAAGCTTTACCAAAACATCCATTCTTCTTTTTTACAGTGTGAAGAATTTGTAACAGCTCATTGTATCTTGTGTAGGAGTTGAAGTTCAATAATAAATTCTGTGAGATAGAATTTGGCAAATCCAAAATGATTTGTTATCATGCAAATCATAATTAAATGCCCTGTTTATTGTCTAAATGAGATAGATTCTTTTGCTTTTCCTGTACAAGTATTTTTTTTTAGTGGCGTACAATTTCTGTGATATTATGCTAAATATATTTCCTTTTTTCCCCCGTGAATTCTGGATTTCAGCTCCTCTAAGCTTTATTTCCTGACTAGAGAAATGATAATATTTTTTGTTACATTATTTGGTCTTTTGTCCTTGAGTTTTGCAGTAGTGTCCACCAATGAACATCAAAGGTAGTCTTTCACTATTTTCAACTCATTCTTTAACACTTGAGCTTATGGTAACAAGGAGATTTTAGAAAAGCCCCTGGTAAGGACTGAATGAGAGGTTGCCAAACGAACTAGCCATGTGTCCAGAGAAATGGAATTTTTAGTCCCACACCCGACCTTCAGAGAGAAGAGAGGGGTATAAAATTAAGTTGCTTACTATGGACCTATGGTTCAATTATTTATTTAAATGAAATGAACCATTCATAAAAACCCAAAGGATGGAGTTTGGAAGCTTCCAGATAGATTAAACACCTGGTAGTTCCTGGAAGGTGGTGAGTCTGACAAGGACATGAACACTCTGTACCTCACCCACTTTCTGAATTTAGATGGATAGTGTTGAAACTGAACTAGGTTTGAGGACATCTAGTTGGTGTCTCCTGCAAAAGTGGTTGCTTATTTGTTGATAGGGATGAGTCCCCCCTCACCTCTAGTCACAGAGGTCTTCTGTGCTTATTTGTTGTGGTCTGAGATTTTGATTTTTTTCTTCTTAGAGTTTCGTTTTTTTCTATAAACAGAAAAACTGAGTTTGAGATATTTTGCTAGCTTCTTTAAATATTGTGTGTTTTTTAACATAAATTTACGTAAAGAACCCTGACTGAAAAGTAGAGGCCTGCATCCAGGGACTCCCAGCTAAGGCCAATCTTGAGCCTGCTACAGGAGGTCATCCAAGGTCCAGTTCTTCAGGGGAGCCTCCCTGCAGGTTTCGCAGCCTGCTCACACCAGCCATGGAAGGAGCACTTTATACATTTTTTGTCATATAATTTCTGTTTTCCCAAGTACCTAAGAATTTTATTTTAGGATATGTGTTTAAGCTTTTTATTTTGTTTGAAAATATGAGTGTACTGAGTGAAATGGTCTGAAGTAGCACAGGTGATTTTTGAAATAAGTTTGTTCTATGCTGAGTTTAAAAAATAATAATACCTATAATGCCACATGGACTCACCATCTAGGTGAATAAATAAGCAGTGGGAAATTCTGGTGTGTCCCCTGGGAGATGATCATACTTCTGATCATTTTTGTTATTCTTTGCAGCTTGACTGTATTTCATAAAGTAGTATTTTTTCGGTTTTGCCTCCTTTGAGTTTTCAGTAACCTAATATTACTATTAATACACTATGAATGGAAAAGAAACCATATTCCCATAGTCTATAAAATAATTTAAGGAGGTTTATTCAGAGCCAACATTGAGGACCATGACCTGGAGCCCACCCGAGAATTCTTGAGCACCTGGACTCATTGTGGTGGGTCACAGCATGGTTGTATACACTTCAGGGAGACAGGGATTACAGGTAAAGTCATAAATCGATCCATGGAGGGCATGTGCCTTCAGTTGGACCCTAAAAGGTGGGACCTCTCAAAGTGGGGCCCACAGATTATGGGTGGGTCAAGCAGTTCAGTTGACAATTGGCTGAACGAGTCAGACTCTGTCTAATAGACCTAGAGCCAGATAAAGGAATGCTTGGGTTTACATAAGGGTCTGTTAATCAGAGACAAACTACAGGACATCTGTCCAGATGCGAGTGGTTTGGTGTGTATATCAGGGACCTGCAGGTATGTCTTGCAT